GCTGGAGGAGAGGAGGAGGAGAAGAATGTCGCTGGCGCTCCCGCGGCGCCCAGGATCGAGGAGATTTTCGAGCCGGAAGATGATGACGCGTCGACCAGTGGTTCCTCCAGCGATGGCGCCAGCAGCAGGAGCGGCGGCGGCGGTGATGCCGGTGACGGCGACGGGGAAGTCCAAGAGAAAGAGAATGCGGCCGCGGGAGAATCAATTGGATCGACCGAGAAGAGTGAGACGCCAGCTCCAGTGGAGCTTGTGGATGTGCTCCGGGAGCTGGAAGAACAGTTTCTCCGGGCTTCCGAGGCTGGAAAGCCAGTAGTGAGAATGCTGGAGGCGGGCAAAGTCCAGCTCGAGAAAGGTAAGGAACTATGGTTTCATGGAAGAACAGGCTGATGATCGTCCGCAGGCTTCTCGGATCATTCTTCCCGGTTGCTGAGCGCTCTTTCGCTCGGGCATTGGTCGCCGAGATCTCTGAGCTCGCCCAGTGGATTTGACATTGAGGCTGGTGGCATGTCCGGGAGTCACGCTGGAACTTTGGATCGACTTTACGCATGGGAGAAGAAATTGTATGAAGAGGTCAAGGTAGTACTTCTACTTCCGGGTTCTTCGATCTGGAACTAAGCTCTTATTCTCTGTGCTTTTCTTCTTCTCAGGCCTGGGAGGCTGTCAATACGGAGCTGGAACGAAAGCGCAGGCTTCTTCGCAACTTGGACGCTAGAGGGGCGAAGCCCGACGTCATAGACAAGACGAGAGCGAGTATGAAGGCCTTGGAGACTGAGATAACTGTGGCGGTCCACGCGATGGAAGCTTCGTCGGCCAATATCCAGAAGATCACGGACGAAGAAATGCTTCCGCAACTTTTGGAGCTCTTGGAAGGGTACTTGCTTTTAGTTTTTCTTTCTTCACGTCGACTTGTTGTTTGGATTCCGTCACAGGCTTGCCGTCATGTGGAAGAACATGCACGAGTGTCACCAGCAGCAACTTCGCGTTGTCATGCACCTCAAACTCCCGCGGGAGTCGTCCTTGGAAGCGATCAGCGTGTCTCACCGGAACACCACCGCGCAGCTGGAGCTGGCGCTCACGGCCTGGCAGACGGGCCTGGGCAGCTTCATCGCCACGCAAAAGGACTACGTGCGGAGCCTCAGCGGCTGGATCAAGTCGAGCCTGCCGCCGGACTCACATCCGAAGAAGTCCGGGAAGAAGGCGGCGGTGGTGCCAAAGATCCGACACATGAGCGATAAGTGGGCCGAGGCGCTGGAGAAGCTGCCGCTCCAGGCGGTGAGCAGCAGGATGAAGCAGCTGTCGGAGACGCTGCGCGAGATTGGGACGAAGCAGGCGGAGGAGATCCGACTCCAGCGCCGGACCGAGGCGCTGTCCAAGGAGCTCAGCAAGAAGATGATATCGCTCAAGAGCTTGGAGAAAAAGCAGCAGCAGCAGCAGCAGCAGCAGATGGATGGCAGCGTGGGGAAGAAGAAGAGCTCGGTCGACAAGCTCGGGGAGAGAGTGGAGATTGAGAAGCAGCGGTTCCGGGGAGCGATCCAGGACACGAGGTCGTTCACGCTGTGTGGACTTCAAAGCAGTCTCCCTCCTCTCTTCCAGGAGCTCCAGAGTTTCACGGAGAAGTGCATGGAAATCCACACGGCCCTCTATGAGGAGGTTAACTCTTACACGGCTGGAGTCACTGTGGATCACTCCCGGTAGACTAAGGAAGAAACACCATTTGTGTAGCTTAAACCAACACAGCAAAAAATTGTAAACGTTAAGCTATCTTTTGTTCTTGGATAGAGATCTTGTGCAAGAAATTATTTTGGAACACATTAGTCTCTCTCGCCACAAAACTAGGAAAAGGCAGTTTTGACAAAACAAGGTACTTTGCGTAATACTTCTCTCACCAAACTCCAATAAAATAATTTTATATATTATTATTAGTAGTATTTTTAAAGCAGAAAATTTTATTTTCACTTAGGATTTTAACATATTTTTCAGTGGATTTTGAGCTAGTAAAACTCCATTAAAACTCTTGAAGGTAGTATATCAAGGAAGTAAGCTTGCATTTGTGGCATTTTTAAAAAAATTGTTTTCAGGGTTGAAATGAAATCTAAGTTCAGTAGAATAAAAATTTATAAGGTCTTTGTTGATGTTTGATCTTTATAACTTCAAAATCTTAGTCTTTATAACATTATTGGATATAACAATTCCATGGCAAGTGGCTACCTCTAGCAATTAAAAGTTTTGATGTTATCACTGCTTGTATCAAGTTTTGAAGTTTATGAAGTTTATGTAGAATGGCATCTCTATCATTTATTAAGCTGTTAGTGATGAGACATAACATAAGTAGTAAAGAATGTTTCTAGAGATTGTATGGATTTCTAAATTGTGTTAGAGTATAGTAGATTTGATGGAAGGGAGTGGAAGAATTATAAGAATACATTTAGCATATATATAATAGTGGATAATTATGATTTTAATAACATGCTATGTAGCACTTTAGAAAGATGTGAGGTTTTCTCAAGCATATAGTGTAAATCTTGAATCTTTATCCAATGGTGTAGAGTATTGAGAGGACTAACATGATATATTACATTTGCCACCTACTAATTTAACATTGATACTCTAAAAATCCAAAAAAATCTACATCAAACCAAATGTAGTGAGTTTTTTCAAATATTCTTGCGTTACTACTGGTTGGTGTTACTTTATTAATCTCTACTCAGCTAGTTAAGAAATTAATTTTCAAGTGTGCACTTGACCAAAACAGTATAAGGATAAAATTCTTAAGTGAATGTTAAAAACTCCTGCAATATTAAGTTTAGTCCCTTAATATTTACTAAGTGACAACTTACCATGTTTGCCCAGACAACTTCATTATCATGCTCTATATGTTAGTCTTGTTTTGGTGAAACATATATATATATATATATATTCCCTAAGGTATTAATACAAAAATTGAGCATGCCTCCTCCAATGGAACTACCTAACGAAACTCTCCCTCTTCATACATGCAGGCCTAAACCTATAATAGAAGCAATTGTAGTCTCTTTCTCTATACCATATCTAAATCTACATCTCCTCTTTGCATGGACTTTAGAATCAACATTAGGGGGCACCATCTCTAGTGGATCCCCTTCTCACCGACTACACTAAAATACATAAGCCATGCCTTTTGCCACTCCTCTAATTTCGATAGCTTCCTCTTGTCTTGAGGATGATATAGTGTAGTTTGTACTACTACTAGCATGAGTCTCCACCATCACAACAAACACTCTAGTATGTGATCTTTTGAAGTGAGAATGATTACGTGCTTTCTATATGGTTTAAACCTTTGTAAATACTAACACACTTTATCTCTCTCCCCTTAAAATTATTTGATGAGAAAGCTTTATTCCCATATATCCCTAAAGGTTTAAAAAATCTATAGTGACAATATATTTAAATTTGCGTGATTCTGCAGCCACGGGACCAATTAATAAATGGACAAGTGCAATGTTGGCAGCAGCAATTGGAGAGAGCATGTCGCTCAACCTCAAAGCACAAGGTACAGCTTCATGTGCCCTTGGCAGCCTGTTTCAAGGGGGATGTGTGTTGCATCCACCGCCACTGATGGTCACAAACAGCTGACAATGTAAACAATATCGCCACCATACCTTTTTACGGAAGTTGCTATCCGCATTCCAATGCACGCCTATCAATGCTCTGTGCTCTTTATCTTGGCAATAACAAATCATATCCATTACCCTCAACCCTCTCTTTTGCCCTCTTAAAGATATTAATATCCTCATTGACTATTAATTAATAACCCCTACTGAGCCAAAAGGAACTAATAATTCCATTTCCACACTAAATGTACCAATCTTTTCATTGTATCCAAATCTTAATGGATTAAATTATTCCATATAAGGCAACTAGTCATCCGTTCGTACCATAATCTCATCAATGGATGCCCTATAAAACAAAGGATGTAGTCATGTACAATTTTAATTTTAGGGGTAAAAATATATCTTACTCAATAGTATATTATTTTTAAATAGCCACTAATTAATGGGAATAAAACTTATGTCATTTGCACATAGAAAGTGATTAATTTTTCCTCTATACTTTAATCATTTAACCATACCTTTGACCACTTGGAAGAGTGTTACTCATAACCTCTATAAATTTTATTCCTGACTTAGGGACTTGATAACCCTGTGAATAGCCTTTATGCCACTTTACTTTTGCATTTTGTCCAAGTTCTCCACGTGTTTGATCTTGATATAAACACTCAAAGGTATCATTAACATGTCAATTCATTATGTTACGTGACCATGCCTTTGATCACTATGCAAAAGGATTACTCCTCTTCTGTTTTATAGTCTAGGACTTTGGGATGACATTTCGAAACACTATAGCCCTATACAAACTTTATGGGTACTCTCCCCACCTTCTACCTTTATGTGCTTTAGCTATACTAGGTAACACTTGAATTGGGAGCATTGACCATTCGATCTAGAGTTGGTTCTTGAACATTTTACCAAGTTACCCCATTTATTTGTTCATGTTCACTCTAGCATGAGACTCTTTAGTGGTTATATTATCACCCACCACATGGGTATAATCCTAGGTCACATTGGCCTTTTCTTGGCCAAATTAATTCCAATGGAGTTTAACCCTCACACTCTCCCTACTATACTTTTGAAACCCCTTGCAACCCCCCCCTAAACATTGATTATTCAATCTTTCGGGGAGAGCTAAAGCCAACTCTTGAATACTTCACTAAGTTATCTTATTTGTCTATTTGTGTTCACTCTAGCCTTGGACTCTTCAATAGTACCCACCACATGGGTATAACTTTCTTGGGTCACACTAATCTTTCCTAGCCAAATTAGTTCTATTGGAGTCGAACCCCTATACTCTCCCTATTATACTTTTGGAACTTTTTACAATCGACCCTGCCCCCCTTTTAGGGACAATTGCTTTGGGCTTTCACCACTCAGACTCATACTCAGATTTGGACTTGGATTCAAACTTAGACTTATACTTAGATTTGGACTCGGACTTAGACTCGGTCTCAATTTTGGTCTTGGTCTTGGACTTTGTCTCAGTCTCGGTCTCGGTCTCAATCTCAGACTAGTTTGGACTCAACCTCAAGCTCCATCTCAAACTCTATCTCAAACTTCTTTTTAGACTCTTTTTTGGACTCCTTCTCAGATTCCATCTTGAACTCCATCTCAGTCTCCATCTTGAACTCCTTCTCAAACTCCTTCTTGGACTCTTTCTTAGCACTTCCATATGTTATGACACTTGTCATGTGTCAATCCTTCTTGTGTCCCTTTCTAGAGACTCATTCATTGATCACTTTGTGCTTATTTCTTAAGCACTTTCATTTAGAGTTTCACTCCTACTTTCAACTTTTCAAATTGAAACTTTTGGTCCAAATGTGTTATGCTCATTGGATTTTTGCTTCGACCACTACTATATGGCACACTTTTGGCTCCACTTTGGGACTTACGGATTTATGTCTCACACATATATAATACACCTATCTCTCTCCTTTTAATCCAACTGAAAAAAGAGCAATTATTTAATTAGAAAGCCCTTAGTAGTTATTTTATCCCTATATATCCCTCAAGGTTTCAAAGATCCATGGTAATAATATATCCAAATTTCATCTCATGATCACATGCACTAAACAACTAAAGAGAATATCTCCAAAAATAATCCATTAGGGTTCAAATATAAAGAGAAAGGGCCCATAAACATATAAGCTTATGAATTTGGACTTCCCGGGAGGTCACCCAATTCAGTACTATTCAAACCCAAGGACGCTTAACCCCAAATATCCCAAAACCCTTAATCGATTGGAAAAGGGGGTGCACTCTTGTTCATGGGCCCTTTCCTTCTATATTTGAACCCCATGGATCGTCTCTCAAGTCGTTCCCTTTGGTTGCTTACAATCCACCACGCTTCCCTGCAAGTTCACGCCCTCGTGAACGGAAGCTGAGAGCCGCAGCTCTCCCGAGAGCCCCGCTCTCTTGACACCCTACCCCTCGGGTCGAGCCCAGCGAGAGCAAACTGGACCAGCCAGATGTCAATCAACATGTGGTGTGAATCCCTTAGCCAACCAACAGAGTCGGACCCGAGACAGCTCTGATACCAAATGTAAGCTCCTGAATTTGGACTTCCCGGGAGGTCACCCAGCCCAATACTATTCAAACCCAAGGACGCTTAACCCCAAATATGCCAAAACCCTTAACTGATTGGAAAAGGGGGTGCACTCTTGTTCATGGGCCCTTTCCCTCTATATTTGAACCCCATGGATCGTCTCTCAAGTCGTTCCTTTTGGTTGCTTACAAAACAAAAGTGCATTTTTTTTTAATTATTTAAGGGTCTTGAGATATTTAGGGATAAGTTTAAATAGTACTTGCTAGTACTATGCTGGATGACTTCCCAAAAAATCCATATTTAAGAGTTTACATCTCCAGAAGTGTCCAAGTGAACATAAATCCCCCATCTATGTCATCTCCTACATTTGATATACCTCTAAGTTGGACCTATAGCAAGGCCTTTATCCCCCTTAAACCAGTGTAAGACATCTCTACTATAAGCCTCAAAATCCTATGTGACTTTAAGTTCCTTTCTTGCTTTAAGGATTTGTTGCCAAACTTGCTTCGCTATATCACATTTCGATAGTGCATGTATGACCATCTCTATCTTGCCACACTTCTTGCATCTCCAACTTGCATCCTCTTGGAATCACTAGCCCACCGGAAGACTATTGTTGGCCACCAACCAAGACATGATCTTCATTTTCTCTTGCATAGAAAGCTTTTAGAA